ATGAATAAGTCTGCAAGAAGAGGCATTAGGGTTCCTGTTGGTGGATTTCTCTTGAATCCCCGTTTCTCTCCAGTGAGCACAGATTATGTGCTTCACCTGTGCCCAGAGTGGGTGGGGCCACAGAAGACGAACTAGAAGCTCCAGTCAGCTCCAGTGCCTTGAGGGTGAGCAACCGTGAGCAGTGAGGTGCAGGTGAGCACAGGTGGGACCCATCAGGATGGTTGAGGGTCCTGTCCCAGGAGCTGGCACTGAGGGAAGCTCTGGACTTGAGTGCTGGCCTGAGTTGAGCTGGGGTTGCCATACCCTTGGTTTTAGGCCTCCTGGCATCCAGTGTTGGGGTGTCAGTTTGGCCTGGAAGGCAGCTCCTCTGCTAGGATTCCTTCCAGGGCACTGGGGGTACAAGGTAAGCAGATGTGGCAGTGTTGTGATGAGTTCTGAAGCTTCTCCGCCCACCCTAGGCCTGGTGTGAGCTGTGATGAGCCTCAAGGCAGCCATGTCTACCTCGCCCCCAGCCTGGGCATGTGCTGCAGTGTATAAGAAAAATACCTCACCTGAAACTGGGGAAATGTGACCTCAGGGCCCTTAAAACTATGAGAGGGAGGCAGAATAGCAAGAGGGAAGGGCTGCAGAGAGCCGCTGGTGGGAGTCAGTATCGCTGCCTAGAAACAGGGAGGAAGGGACCACAGGCAGGGAGTGAGGTCAGCCTTTGGTGCTGGCAAAGTCCGGGAAGTGGATCTTCCCCAAGCGCCTGGGAAAGGAACCAGCCTTTGGGCGGAGCCCAGCGAGGCCAATCCAGACTTCTGCAGGGCTGGAAATAATGGCGTGTGATGTCTCAGCTGCCATGTCTGTAGTAATTGGTTACAGACCCGGTAAAGCTAACACTCCTCCTGAGTAGTTGACCTAAAAATGGGCTGGAAAAACAACAACAGAACAACCCCATTAGTACAGAAGATGACTCAGGAGAGATTGTCACTGCCTCTGTGTGCGACACTGCGGCGGGGTGCAGAGACCCCACACTTGGCCTTTGAGAAGGATCTGAGTGGCCTCTGTACTCCCTAGAACACACACTGCCTTTCTTCTCATTCCCCTGGGCTGTCCACCTGGTCTAAATCGGGAATGGAATTCTTAGGTACACTGCTCAGCTTGACGCTCAGCTTGGCAAAGCACAAAACCAGGAGGCAGCCTCCACGTCCAAGTCTCTAAGCTGTGGCTGTACACAGGCCGGGAAGCCCTGGGTGTCTGCCTCCCCCTTCCCCAGCGGTCTGTGCTGTTCCGTGTGCTAAGGAAGTGGCTTCACATGGCACAGGGTAGACATAGGAGACCTGCCCCCTCTCTGGCCTGGAAGGAGTCGGGAGCCCTTTCTGCAGGAGTGAAGAGAGGGACGAGGGAATAGCACTAAGACCAGCCCTTCCTTGATCCTGGAGGGGAGGAGTCAGTGCTGGCAGCCGCCTTGAACCTGTTTGAGCTGCCACCTGTTACACACGCAGGCCACTTGTGAAGGAAGTAAGAAGGAGACAGGCCACCCTGGCTGTGGTTCCGCATTGTGCTGTATAGACCCAAGGGTGCCCATGGAGGTAGGTGCCCTCTGCCCATGCTCTTCCTAACAGTTAGGCCAGCAGCCCTGGCATCTCCTGGGTACACAGAGAAAAACACTCCCTCTGTGGCTTGTGGCTAATTCCTTTGGTCATCTAGCAGTGTCCTTTGGAGTAGACAGACAGATGCGTGTGTCATGAGGAAGAGAGGTGTGGTCTTGCTGTTTTATGTCTGAGGGTCGCTAGCTCTTCAATACCCACTGAATAAGAAGGGCGGGAGGGAAGGGCGCCTGTGCCCTCTGGATGCTAGGCACTTGATGTCTCTTTCCAGCCATGTTGCACTGGAGTAGGGTTGGTGCCAGCGGGGTGCCTCCGGGTCTGGGGGAGCGCCCGTCTGCAGGCCACGGGCCAGTGCCCTTAGCGGTCTGGAAGGAACTGTGACCGTTCAGTGCTCAGGTCAGGACATGTCGTGCTGCGGGCAAGGTGGACAGGCTTCTTGCCACAACCATACCAACCCCGCAATGACCTCAGGGTTCCTCTGGGGGCCGGGAGGAGGCAAGCCCAAGCCTGTCCTTTCCTGGGACTGTTGTCCATCTCGTCCCTTGCATCCACTGGCTCCTGTCTTGTGGCCTTGTCAGCATCTACAGCTGCAGGACACAAGTCAGTCTCAGGCACTGAGTAGCCGAGGTGAGAGACACCAGTGGAAAGGCAGCTGACTTGAAGCTGTCTTCCTAGAGAAATATGAGGGAGGCTGGGGAAGGCCGTCCGATGGGGCTGTTCACAGAGGCTTCTGGAAGGAGGCAGAAGTTTCTATTGTGGAAAGCAGTACCTTCCCTCCTTTATCCAAAGATGCCCAAGCCCCAGGGGTTCCTGTTCTTCCTTTTGCTCTTGGACAATCCTTTCCCTTGAGGTCTGGGTTGGCTCAGGTGCTGGTGGGCCTTGGGCCACTGTCAGGAGGGTCAAGAGAATGGCATGTACAGTAGCCTGAGGTGGCCTGCATCTTCACACACAGGTCTAGAGAGTCAGTGACCCAAAAATCTTGGTCCCATTGTCATTGCCACAGAGTTGAAATTAGGGTGTCCCAGAGCTCTTTCTGAAAGTTCTAGGGGAGAACTCATTCTGTCCTCCCAGCGTCTCAGGCATTCATTCCTTGGCTTGAGGCCATATCAGCCCCCCACCCTCTGCCTCTGTGTTCATGTGGCCTTCTCTCTACCCATTGCTCCCTGCCTTTTGTAGAAAAACACTTGTGACAGCTCAGCACTCAAGAGGCTGAGGCAGAAGGATTCTCTTGAGTTCAAGGCCAGACCCTGTCTGGAAAAAGGAAAAAGAAACACCTATGATTGCATTGCGTCCTCATTGAGGTCCTTAATCACTCCCTCAAAGTCTGTACTGGTTTGGAAGGGTCCCCTGTAGGGGACAGTGACAATAGCAGCCTCCCATGGGAGGGATGACCTGCTGGGTGAGAACGCCTGGCCAAAGAGGGCAGCGCAGTGAAAGCATGGCTGTTCTGGCACTTTTGGGGGGTTCTAGATGGCCCCGTGTGGTCAGAGATGTGCATCCCAGGTGGGGGGAGCAGTTGCGTCATGGTCTGGGCATGTAGACTCTGGATTTGCAGAGCTTCTCTTGTCTGAAGTTAGTTTGTGAGAGGCTGGGCTGAAAAACCAAGGGAGGTTCTCTGCAGACTGTGACAGGTACGGAGAGCATGTAAGAAGGGTTAACAAGGAGGCCCCTCTTCCTCTGCATCTGGCTTAATTGTCAGCAGGTCTAGGAAGAATGCTGAGACCCACAGAAGAGAAGTAGTTCTTGTCTGAAGTCTCTGGACCCTGAAGGTCTGGAGCATTAGGTTGGAAGTCCGGGTGAAACAGGACCAGGCCCAAGGCTGTGGGGATGATGGCAAGCTGAACTGGCGCCTGCCTAAGTGTGTGGGGAGAGAGAAGCAGCAGCTGCCCCTGGGATCGCCTCCTGAGCCAGCAGAGAAGTTTCCCTGACCCTAGGAGGGACAGTGTCTGGAGAGGCACAGAGAGCTCAGGAATGCAGCCCTGGGCTCTCCTGGAGGAGGGCACACTGAGTGTGATGCTCTGGAGACAGTGAGCTGGGCGCTGGAGCGGGGGTGGGGAGACCTGCTCCTACACAGGCCCCAGGTCCTCTGTTCACGGAGCAAGTCAGTGTGCCTGAGAGGACAGTCCAGGAGCACACACAAGCCAGCCAGGTGGACAGGATAGCTACAAACCAAGCGAGTGGCCGAGGAACCAGTGTCAGCCCCTTAGGGTGGCCTAGAGTCCCTCTCCCTGAACAGAGGTGTGGGGATATGGGCTGTATCCTGTCTTGGAGCAGGTGGACTGGTGACTTTCAGAACGGTGACGGTGTGGTGGCTCACAGGAATGCAGTTTGTTGAACAGACAAATCTGAGGGTTCCAGACACTAAGGATGATGACGTTTCATAGTGTCGGGTACTCTACGTAGCGATCGTGTCTGTTGGGCCCGCGGCTCACGTTGGGCAGCTGAGAGGCTTGTTCATCAATCAGGCCTTGATCTGGGGCTGTGCACTTTCAGAGTGACGGAAGGGAACCTCGTGTGGTGCTGCTCTTTCAACCCTTCAGAAGATGTGTGCTGGTCTTTCTCTTGGCTGCTAGTTCTGAGCTGGGTGCCAGAGATGGGGCAGGAAGCCCTGACCCTGCAGAGTTTGCAACGGAAGGAGAACAGATGAGGACCCGAGGGTGTGAGTGAAGCAGCTGTGCAGAACTGGGCAGCATCCTGGGCAAGGGAATGGCGAGGCTTGCCCTGGGAATGAGGACCCGCATGATTAGTGGTTAGGAGCAAGAGGTGCCAGGGAGGAGCAAGGAGCCTGTAAAGGTTGCCCAGCGAGTAGTGCTGGCTGCTGGGTGGCAAAGGAGAGGGCTGCAGAGGAACCGGGGAGACTGTCGGCATGGGGGATGAGTGTGGGCATGGGGGGTGAGTGTGGGCATGGGGGG